AGGTCGCAAAATGTGATCACATGGTCCAGGACACTGCAACCGTCATACATGCCAATTGCCAGGTGTACGAATTTTGATCATGTGACCACAAGGATGCTGCAACAGTCGTAAGTGTGAAAAATGGTCATAAGTCACTTTTTTCAGTGCCATTGTAATTTCAAACGGTCACTAAATGGTTTTAAGTCCAGGATTACCTGTACTGTCATGTTTGTTGAATTTTGGTATGTGTTTGTGTGTGTAGAGTATGCATTATATGCACTGCACACATTTAAAGATTCGGGATGTATTTTAAAATGTTCAGTCTTATACAGTTTTTTTACTTATTGCTGTGTGCATGCGTTGTGTGTTCATTCTGCCTGCTCTTGAATAGCAATGAAATACTACAAAATTCACCGTTGCTTTCATGCTGCCATCCATCTAGATGATGACCTTTGTCATCTCAAAGCAGCAGAAATTTGCCTCTTGCCATCCAACAGACTGGAGAAGAGAAGGAGATGCCCTGAGAGACGGATCTCCACATTTTCATGCTCCATTCAGCCTCTTCCTGTCAGCCAGATCTCCAGCACGGGATTCTACTTGGGTGCCTGCTTGCTATGGGCTGCCATAGTAATGGGGAAGGGTGGAGTGGCGTTTGGGTTGGGGGAGTGAGCTAGTGAGGTCCCAGGTGAATTAAAAGGAAGGTTTGCTCTCTAGAATTACGGCACCGCTGAGTGGAGTTGTTTACATCCTGTCGAGGCCAAACGTCCCAGGACTCCGGATGGGCAAAATACCCGAAAATGAGCTTCACGCAAGATCATACTGGACATTGATTGGACGTCAATGTCCAGTATGAGGGGAGGGATTCGGGGAAAGTTTCAATCTGTAACTTTCACACGTTTTGAGTCAGATTTTGTCTTGCTTTTGCTGCTATCATTTCAAACTCAGTAAAAGTACTCCTTCTCCATCTCAATGGAGTTGGGGGGTTTTCTTTCTTGGGTTTTGAACAGAGAGGCAGGCCTGACATCACTTTTCTCTCCCTCTACGTGTTGTTGCTCCAAGTACTCTTGTGATTACAAGGATATTATGGTAGAGTTAGGGAGTGTTTAAAGAAAGATGTAGGACTTGTCAAGCCCCTTGGCTAACAACCACTCATTTAGCGACCGTTTAAAGTTACAATGGCATAAAAAAGTGACCTATGACCGTTATTCACACTTTTCACACTTATCTTTATAACATCCCCACGGCCACATGATAAAAATTTGGATGCTTGGCAATTGGTTCACTGGCAACTGATTGGCCAAACCCACTTATCAATTGTCTTGCTTAGCAACAGACATTTTGGACTCTATAGTGGTCATAAATTGAGGATTACCTATACAGTCCCTTTCATTAACTCAGTACTGTCAACATGCTTAGAAATGGCATAACAGATCATTTAACTCAGAAGCCCTTTTAAAAAAACTATATTAGGTGGGTAAGATCAAGATCACAAAGGTCAACCTCCATAGCATCACGAATGAAGCATTTATTCAATCCAATCTGGAAATCAAGATCTGAAAGTGCACCCTGTACTGGAAGCACAACCACTCCTGCACTGCACACACCAGTGCTTACTGTACAAGCACAAGAAGAAGGAGGAGGAGGAGGAGGAGGAGGAAGAAAACATTGTTTATAGTCTCCTAGGCAGCAGTAACAGGGAGGAATAGGCCTATTTGCATGGTGGGGGCATGAAGGGCCTCCTGCTCAAAGGGACCCGTTGAAAAGCTAGACCGCATTTATGCCTTTATGGAGCAAGTGTTGGGTTTCTGGAACTCTTGTGCTTATTCCTAGGATAGGTGAGAGGGGGGACCAGTTTACCTAGCAGCATGTGATTTACTGAGCATACTTGCAGAAGGGACCCTGACAGGCCCTTAAAACCAAAGTACTCAACAGCAAAGAAGCAGAACAGCAAAATTCAAATAAACCCAAAACGCCAACTGAAAGACTGGAAAGAAAAGGAACAATTTAAAGGAACAATTTAAGATTATTGAAATTACACAGATGTGATTTTAAAAAAAACAATCTGGGAGAAATATAGGAGTTGCCTTTAGATGGTTATGCTTTAGGAGAGGTCAGGCAGAGTTCTTACCAAAGCCAAAGCTTTGGGATGCTCCATGAAGGATGCAACCTGGAGCAGAACCATCATGGTGGTCCTACGGTGGAGAGTTGAGCTCCCTGGGAGGAAACCTCTTCTGATTCTGAGGCTCTTCTGGCTATGGTTGCATGTTGCATACGTGGCCAGAGCTCAGGTTTCAGTTAGATATGGGGGATGTTTTTTTCCTTTGTATTTGTGCCAAGATAGAAGTCTACATTTCCTTGGAGGGGGGGGGGGGAGGATTGAAAACAGGGTAAATCGTGCCTTCATTTTTGTTAGCTTACCAATTTTCATCACTGTAATTTAGGAAGAACAAAAATGGGGCTAATGAAACATCAGGTTTTTTTTTTTACTAGAGCCCACTTTATCAGATATATCTAATAAAGGAGACTCTAGTCCAAAGATATTTACACCGTAATAAATGTGTTAGTTTTCAAAAGTTACAAGAACCATGTAGATTTTGAATCAATAGACTAATACAGGTTTTGGAAGTTGTGATGACTAATCTGTCCTATTAAGGCTGGTTTATTATGTTAGCAGATTAATCAAAATACACATTCAGTGAGGTTGTTACTTACAGTAAATAAAGAGTTTAATCCCCAAACAACATCCTGAAAAGGGAAAAAAAATGATTCAACCAAAATTAAATATCTCAAATGCATTATATATAAAAACAGATAGATAAGATAGATAAGATAGGCAGACAATCAGGAAGATCACGAAGCTACTGGAAACATCCTTATGAATTTCAGAATTTTTAAAGAATCTGATTTGCAAACTATTAAAAACAAATGCAAATCTTTGACACTATGCAACCATTTAAATTTAAATTCCCTAGTTCCTGATTTTTTCTCCCTGCCATCAGGTATGTTCATCTTAAAGCTCTACAGCAGGCAAGTCCAGCGGAGGAGGGCACACGGCCCTCGACCCACAAAACCATCAGTTTTTAACATTATTGTGTGCATATACATTAACTATACATTAGATACATTATACAACATTAACTATATTATACATTTATATGCAGCCCAAAACAATCCCTCTTCACTCAATGTAGCAGCTCAGGCAGCGCAAAAGGTGGGACCTGCCTGTCCCATTATATTCTGACTATATTCTCAGACTCTCCAAGCTAAATGATTACCCAAGTGATGGGAATAGAATATGCTGCTTAGTTGGCTGCTTGACTAATCATATCACTTTGGAGATCAACAATGGTTTAAAGAAATCATTTTTGGCAATTTCCTCCCTTTATTACTATGAAAACAGTGTGGTACCGTTTATAAGCACTGTAGAGGAGATCTGCTAACCATTTCTTCTCTACTCCACTGATAGAAAACTTCCAAGGATCAGAGAGTATTCTGTTAATGGAATTACACCAACTGGATTTAACCCAGTGTCAACTAGCCAAAACATATAATTTATTTTCTGCTACTTGTAGCTTCTTGGTTTTGTTCCCACAAGGTAGTAAATAATGGAAATAAACATACTGAACCATTCACCATTTAAAATATTATTTGGCTTTATTTGCTTTAACAGTTCTATCACTACATACAAAATCCATTTTAAATAAGTCTTTCTCTGAAAATGAAAAAAAAAAGGATCAGTGGATAATACGGCACATGAAGTGAACTATTCTTTGCTCTTGACAGTAGAAATACTTTAACAGATACTGAAGTGGATCAGTGGGAGTCAGAATTCTAAGTTTTAAGGTTTTTTGGTTGGTTTTTTGGAAATGACATTCCTGGCCTCTGAGTTAAAAATAGAAAATACTAAAATTTTCCCACAAAATTACTGAAAGGATGTAATATAAATTGTAAAAAGAACCATGAAATTGATTGATAATGATTCTCTTGCATTTCTGTACATCAAACTGTAGATTTAAAAAAATTAAAATCTTTATTACTTAATAAGATTCAATTTTTCTAAAGAAAAAGAAAAAGTCCACCACTAGGAATAACAGAATAACAGAGTTGGAAGGGATCTTGGAAGTCTTCTACTCCAGCCCCTAAAAATGTACTGTAGGTACATTAAGAAATGCATTAAAAAGTTTTTAAAAATCATTTTTAAATCTAGTCTAGTGATTGAAAATGGCTGTTTCTTAGTTCCTACGTGAAAATATTATTGAGGCCTTATGAGGGGCTAAAATTCAGTTGAGAAGTAGGGGAAGATAATATTAAAATTTGTTGTATCACAGTCTCACAGATACACACTGATCCCAGATTATTTCACAACATTTAGTTCCAGTCATCTGCACTGTCACTATCCACGTACTATCAAGCTTTGCTCAAATTTGAGCTGTTTCACCTGCTTTGTTTTAATTTATTTGAATTTATATGCTGCCCATTGCCTGTTGCAGTGACTCTGGACAGCTTATAAAATGACTGCAAGTATTCCTCATAAGGCCCTTCAGGTGTTCATGGAGATCATTCCCTAAAAATAGATATTATTCCCTAAAATTAGAATTGTTTCCTAAAAGTCACCTTTGAAGATTCTAGTAAACAGCATAAGCAGATTCAGTACGAACACAAAATGTTTAGTTTTTTGCTACTCGTATTGCCCATGTGTATAGGCTCAAACCAGCCACTCTTTATCAGTGCCCAGTCAACCTTGAGATGGGTTTTCCTCCAGTAACGCCCCAGGCTTCCCTTCTCCCTTCGTTTAATTTCAAGCAATCATTTTCACGAGGTGACTTAAGCAGAGTTGAATATTGTCACCAGAGTCATTATTACTTAATATTTAAAGGCAGTATTTCACTTCCAATTGGTTGCTTAGGGCCATTCAAAGCTATGATACAGGACCCAGCTTAGAAGTTCCAACGACCGGAAGAAGGAGGGCTGCAAATTTACGACTGTTTTGCAGCATTCCCTGGTCATGTGACCACAATTTACAAAAGCTTCTTTGCCAGTACAGGGGTAGTCCTCTACTTACAGGCTTGTTTAGTGACCATTCGAAATTAAACAGCACTGAAAAATATGACTTTCACACTTACAACTGTTACAGCGGCCCCAGGATCACATGATCAAAATCCAGACCCTTGGCAACCGAGTCATATTCATCATGGTTGCGATGACCCAGGATCCTATGATCACCTTTTGTGATCTTCTAAGCAAAGTTAATAACACCTAATAACAACCACATTATTAACTTATCTTCATTTAACAACTGTGGTAAGAAGTCATAAAATGCGGCAAACTCACTTAGAAAATATCTGATTTAACAACCTATTTTGAGTTCATTTGTGGTCATAAATTGATGATTACATGTACTGGCTATTACTTTTAATTTCTGGCAAAAAAAAAACCCCACCCATTATGGTTAATTGGTTCACTTAACAATTATGACATTTGTTTTACAACTCCTGCAAAAAATATCATAAAATCGGGCCAGTCACATGGGTGCCACAATTTACAACTGTCATGACATACAATAGAAATTCCGGGCTCCATTAGGGTTATAAGTCGAGGACTACCTGGATATAAATTATTTGGTTCAAATCAAATAGGTTCCTGACCAATCTAGCTGACAACTTTGTTCTCCGAAAGATAGAGAAGAGAACTTGAGGGACATCCATATTGGACTTAATTCTTACAAACACAGAATAAGAGACAGAGGGAGTTGAAATCGCAGCAACCTTGGGTGAGAGTGATCATGTCATACTAGAATTCAACATAACACAAACACAAGTAATAGAACATAATGATACCAGAGTTCTAGATTTTAACAAACTCAGAGAGAGCTTGGGAAAGATTCCTTGGATGAAAATGCTAAAGGGGAAAAAAGCTCAAGAAGCTTGGGAAACTCTGAAAAATATGATAATAAAAGCCCAGTCCAGCACAATACCACAGAAAAAGAAAAACAAGAAATCCAAGAAACCAGAATGGCTGCACAAAGATCCCTCTCAGAAATTGAAAGACAAAAAGGGCAAGTACAAAAAATGGAAAGGAAGACACAGAGCTAAGGAGGAATATCAGCAGATCGCCAGAATCTGCAAAGACAGAGTCAGGAAGGCGAAGGCTCCGAATGAACAAAGACTTGCAACAAAAGTCAAAGATAATTTTAAAACGTTTCTTCCAACATATAAATAACAAGAAAAAAAAATCAAGGAAACAGTCAGTCAACTAAAGAGAGAAGATGGCAAAGAAGTATCAGGCAACAGAGAGAAAGCAGAGCTGCATAACTCATTCTTTGCATTGGTTTTCACGCAAAAAGTCTAGCCTGCCAAAAACGTAACTGTAAAAGTCAGACTAGAAATAAAAGTTAAAATAAGCAAAAAAAAATTGGTAAGAGAACACCTGCATGATCTGGATGAATACAAATCACCGGGACCTGATGGATTACATCCCAGAGTTCCAAAGGAGCCGGCAGATGTCGCCTCATAACCATTGTACCACATCTTTCACTGGGGAACTACCAGCGGACTGGAAAAGAACTGATGTGGTTCCCATCTTCAAAAAAAAGGGGGGGGGGGAATAAAACCCAGGAAACCTCAGCCCAATCAGCCTAACATCAACACCTGGGAAGATATTGGAAAAGATAATAATAAAAAACTGATCTGCCAGAATGCTAGAAACGAGTAAAGTAATAACTAGAAGTCAGCAGGGGTTTGATAAAAACAGATGAAGCCAAACGAGTCTTATTTCATTCTTCAACAGAGTAACTAACTTAGCAGGCCAGTGAAATACTGTGGAGATAATATAGACTTAGACTTCAGCAAGGCATTCGACAAAGTAGATCAGAACCTACTTCTTGGCAAGCTAGAAAAAAGTGGGATAGATAGCATCGCCATCGGATGGATTTGTAACTGCCTGTTAAACCATACTCAACAAGTAGCCCTTACTGGTACTACATCTACGTGGAGGGAAGTAAGCAGTGGGGCACCACAAGGTTCTGTCTTAGGCCAGACTTCCGGTTTGACGTCGCAGCGACAGTCAGGATAGCAGGGCTCTGCGAAATCCAGGATGGCCCTAAGGAACCAAAGTCAACCTGGAGAGGTGACGAGGAAAGGATTGCTTGCTGGTCGCGGAAGAAAGGCGGCTCTTCTGCTGGATCCAAGGGCACAGCCTCCTGTCCAACAGAGAATAGAGATGGCCATTATGGCTGACCAAAGCTGGGGCAACTGAAGAAAGGAAGGAGCTGGAGTGGTTTGTGAACAGTGGATTGGAACTGGGTGAGGCGATTCTTAATTGTTTTATTAGAGACCACTTTAAACAAAATAATTTTTGAAAGACTCCGAAGTGTGGAGAAAGTAACAAATTAACACATGGAGATAAATGTTAGACCCAAAAGAGAAATGAAATTCTAATGGAAGAATATGAAGTTTTTAAAAGACTGGAACTGGAATTTGTTATGTTGTGAAAAGTGACTTAGATTTGCTGGAAATAGTGTCTGTTGGCTGTTGGGAGAAATTACGTATATAAAGAAAAACAGATTTTTTTTTCTTTGTGTTGAACTTTGACAATCAGCTAGCAGCCCCCTATTGAACTTTAGAGTTGTACCGCCATCTACTGGCCAAAGAAGATACTATATTTATATAGGTCTCTGAAAGACCTTGAAAAACATCTGGGGGGAAAAGCGTCATAGGAGGAGATAGGAAGAGAAGTAAAGGGCAAAC